CGAGCAGGACCTCTGTTTTTCTGAAAATTCTGAAAATGTTTTTAAAGTGCATCTTTGCATCCTCATTCCATCCTAGGCATTCCTAGGCCTAGTTTAAGGCATCTTAATAAGGATATTGATGTAGAACCACACTGAGGCAAACTAGGGATTAAGTTATTATTTTTCCAACTGTGTAGCTTAGTGTGTGTTCATTTTGCAACTGTGTAGGGTTGGCATCCGGAGACGCGTACTAGCGTATCTATAGCCCAGAACTCTGTGAGTAACAATGCTGTAAAGATATGTTCGAAAATGAATATTTTCTGAATGATCAACTGAACTGTTTTCTGAACTGTTTACTGTTAACTGAATGAATGTTTGTCTTCTATTCTGAATTGTATTGTGGCATCCTTAACAACTACTGTTACTATTACTGCTACTGTTACAGAGATCTCTGTCAGTTCCTATTTTGGAACTTCTGTTTACTGTTATGATGGCCATCATTGACTGTTCGGTATTTCAAGACCTACTGTTTACTGTACTGTTCTGCTATTGGATGTACCATATATGACTGTTATGACTGAATGACTGATACACTGAATCAATTGACTGCTTTCAATACTGAAAGGACATTCATTCTTAACCTCTTTACGCATTATGTTATTTACTGAATTTTAGCTCACTACTCATATATACATGTAGGTGTTCAGGCACCAGACCGGAGCTAGGAGCGTGGGTTAGACTCCCTTTTGTTAAAGCCAACCATTGTGTCTCACTGCGAGGTTCCGAGCCTGTCAAGCTAAGGCTTTTGGGGTGTTTTAGTTTTCCCCCTTCTTGGTTATGTTTTGTATAGACTGAATGTTTTTGTACTGTACTGTTTTAAATAGGGATTAAGTCCCTGTCCTGAATGATTGTATATATTATACATGTATGTGTAGACTGTTCTGTTATGAATGTGTATATATATGAAAAGTCTTTTTACATACAGACTGTCACAGCTCATTGGACATATTTTAATTACTGTATTGGCTTCCGCCAGCCCCTGTACTCTGTAATTCTGTTTGACTGTTAAGCAGGCTTTCGGTAATCTCGGATTACTGGCCGGTTACGGTGCTAAATCCATAGGGGCAGGTTTGGGTCGTGACAGTGGACAACCTTGTGCCTGTGGTCCTCTTGGTCCGTAAGGTGGTATATTTGGGACTGGTTGACCCTGTGGTGCAAGTTACTGTTGGGGGTGTGGATAACCCCTTTGAGCCTGTCTTGCGAAAGGACCTGCAAAAGGTGTTGGAACAGGTGTTGTGTTTTTTCCATTTGTAGGAAAACCTTCTAACCCCCGGGTATAAATTCGAATAAGGGGCTAGTGAACCCCCTCGTGCCAAGTATGGCTTCGAACATGGGATTTGAAATCATTCTTATGCCATTTTCTTATACTGGGCTAGATCCACTAATTTGCATGGCTTCGCTGTTAAACACTGAGGCATTTTGACCTGTTATAGGCTTCGAAATAGGTTCGTACCAAGACCGAGGTGATGTTCCTCCACGTGTCTTGCGCTTGTTGGTTGGTGGTTATTCATTCGATCCAAAAAGGATGTTGCTCACCTTTCCATCGTGTTCATTAACTGCTGTCCCATGGCATCTACTAGGCCACCCTATGGATTTATTGGTTGAGTAGATAGAACAGTGGATGGTCCAATTCCTTGGTCTCGTACAATATTACGAACATGCGGTACTTGTTCTGAAGTGCTTGTCTGTTCGACCATAGGTTCTGATAAAATGAAAACTTTCACAGGATGTGTTATCACATTATCCTCTGGATTAGGTATCTCTACCTCTCCTTTCATGCTTTCTTCCAAGCGTTCATTTTCTCCTTTTCTTCTACGTCTAGCCATTTCAATTGGTCCCACCGGGCGTGCCAAAAATATATGTTGGATTTTTGGCTTTCGAAGGTTATTTTTGTAATTGCAAGCATGTCAGCAAGGATCAATTAGTCCTTACAGAAAATTAATTGCCAACCAATTATCAGACAATTGTGTTTTAGTTCTTTTAGCCTCAATGAAGAGGACCTTTACTGGTGGCTTGATTTAGGATAATTAAATAAGATAACAATTAAATGAAGAACAATTGAAGCATTTCATTAAAACAAAAAACTTACAATGATCCAAACTCAGTCTCGTAGAGGTTTACAGCAACAATCTACTACTTAAAACTACTCCTATGAACGAAGTGCAGTGCAGAAATTTAAAGTACAGAAATGTAAAGAACAGGAAATGTAAGACTGGAAATGTAAAACTAAAAAGGAAAATAAGTAAAATAAGACTGGTTTTTTGGATCTGAGTCTGGGGGTCTTTTTGTGGGCCTTCTCTGCTATTTATACTTCTTAAGGATGACCATCGAACTGCATTTCTAACCGTCGAACTGCTCCTCTATGATCGCTGATCATGTTGCCTTATAATTAGCTCCACTATGCTATCACTTGTAGTTAGGCTTCCCTCTTAAATTTGAATTTAAATGTGAGTAACCGTTGAAGCCACATCACTTTACATCTGTTTGTTGATCTACTACTACTCAGATCTCGTAATAACCAATACTAACTGCTACGTGTACGATCAAGATTGAAGACTTGAATAGTCTTCATGTATTACCCTTATTCTGCTACGCGTCGAATTGTAATTGGCTTGTACAAAATATATAGCCAACAAAATCATAATCATTTTATTTTTTTTTTCACAAAAGTCAAAAAAGTCAAAAAGTCTATCCCAAACGAGACTTTTTAGGCTAGGCTAAAAAAGCCAAAAAGTCAGCCGATATCCCAAACGAACCCTATATGTTTGAATCAAATTTGTATTATAAAAAATAAATGGTTATTCATGAAATTATATTTGTCGCAAACAAATATGATTCAACTATATAATTACCAATATTCAATCATCTTTATTTTTTATATGGATATTTTACTTAACGAATTTAAAAAAATAAACAGTTCAGATTATCGAAATCGATTTCAAAATCGGTCTACTAAAACTAAACACTCTCTTAAATTAAAATAACAATTTAAGCGAAACTAAATCCTTTATAATTTTCCCAATTTATCATTGCCCTTATTTTTTTTTAGAAAGTGAAAATGCCATAAAATACAAATTGATGGGGGAAGGGATAGAATAAAAAACGTTAAGAATTTTAAATATTTTATTAATATTTTTATCAAATATTTTATATGGTATAAAATTCACATATAAATTTCATATTTATATGAGAAATTTAATAAAAATATTAATAAAATAATTAAGCCACTAACATTGATATGAATTTTGTAGGTCTTAATTCCAGACCTGTATTGGTTTGGAGAGTGGGTTGACTTTTTGAATCTTTGACTTTTTTAGTTATTTTAGTTAAAAAATTTCGTTTGGGAAGAATTTTTAATTTTTTTTGATTTTTTTTAATTTTTTTGTAAGAGAAAGAATATAATGATTATAAGTTAGATGTGATATTTTTTTTTTTTTTTTGACTAAAAAACTTATTTTGTTTTTTATAATTATTTTGAAAAATAAAAAAATAAAAAATCCAACTTTTGACTTTCCCAACGAAGCCAAAATGACATGTCACCGTCACGCCAACTCATTCATTGATTTTTGAATTAGCCATGTTTTGTACTCGGCTCATCGTACTTGTTTGGAGTCCGACTTAAGCTCAGCCCGGCCCACAGGCACAATAGTTGTGCCCAATCATCATTCGTGTCGTATTTTGTATAATTGTTTTCAGGCCCATTGAGAATTTTTTTTAACGACATAAAAAGGTTCTAAAAGAATTATTTAAATTAAAGATTGTGAATAAGGTCCAAGGTGGTTGGGCCGCCTTGACTTCCAAATTGTAGTGAGAGAGATAATATAAATAGAAAGAATTAATTGCAACAACTTAGGTTATGTGGTCCTCCATAGAATATTTATTGATTTGAATAGTAAGACTCAACTTTTTTTATATTATTTTTTAAGAGATAAGATAAGTTGAATGTTTCATTAGAAAATTTGGGAAGAGATTTAGAAAGAGAAAGAAAAAAAGATAAATAAAATGTAAATAACATATATTTACATTTCACCAAATTTCACACACATTTTTCCTTTCTAAATTTCTTCTTAAATCTCTCAACCAAACACAGCGTAAGAAGGATAAAAAAATCTCTCATTTAGACACTTAACATTATTTAGTTTATTATGTCAATCCCGTGAATTTTTTTATTAACATGTTAAATAATAAAATAAATAAATAAAAAGGTACATTCCAAATTCATTTCTCACCTTGAGATGCAGAGCACACAAGCTGGTCAGCAAATCAACAGTGCTTCAAGTCTACTCAGACAATTAAAGAAGCTCTTTTGTTTTTGGTTTGCCATTTAATGCAGAGGCCATAAATCAACAGAAGCAAATGCATGCTTATTTCATTCAGCATAAACTAATGTTGAATTGCAGTTACACCCCACAAACTGCATATTTAAAAAAATTATGTCACACCAAATTAAGAATTAATCTGCAGAGCCTGGTTTCTTATTGAGCATTGAATTGGAGAACAAAAATATGGAAAAAAATCATAGAGGTGTGTGACTAGAAGTGCAGAGAGAAAAATTCTCCAGGAAAATAAGTGCAGAGAGAAAAACAAATGGATACAAAGAATTATAGAACATGTGATGCTGGAAATGGAGAGGGAAAAATAGATAGACAGAGTTATACACAAAGCAAACTAGAAGTGATTAGAAAAAAAAAATAAAAAAATAAAAAAGTTGATAGGTAGTTGTGTAATTGTCCGAATGAAATTACTTAAGGGTTTTTCCTTGTTATTAATCCTTCTATAAATTTGGAAGGGGAAGAAAAAAATAAAATAAAAAGCTCTTGTACAATTAAAAGAAAGTCAACCCCAAAATACCAAACAATATATAAATATATATAACAGAGTCTAATGTGATGAGAAAAAATATCACAAATCCATCAAATTCTTGAACAATTTAAACAACTTAGCAAATAGGAAAAGAAAAATATTTAACGTTGCCGTATCTATAGAGGATAGGAAAATATCCATTTCATGTATGCAAACAGACTGACATCAGTAATATCTATCCCCGCCAACCATCACATATTAGTTCATCAAAATCACACAAAAAGAAGATATAGCATAATCCCACAAATAACAACCACAATGTATAATTGACACCACTGATGTTCTTGATGAAGACAAGACGGACAACACGCCAATATTATACCTGGGGAAGTTCTAGGTTCCACAAACTATAAACATTTAACATAGTAAAGCAGATGGGTGGAGAACTCTCCAAAGTATGAAAATTTAGCTTGCTCGGCTTCTAATAACATCAAGGCCCATCTCAGTAGGATCAGTTGCTTGCAATTCTACCTGAATACCATCAAGCTCTCTCTTGAACCGATCCTTGGAGCTTGCATAAATCATCTTGCTTCTTACCCTTGATATATCAGGACACCTTCATAACAGTTGGATAAAAAGGCAAAAAAATCAGAGCAAAAATCACAAAAAACATAAACAATACTGGGAACACAAAATTCAGAATAGTAGAAAGCATGTAAAAAAAGACCAATCACCATGCAATGAAAAAAATCCTGCTTTTTTGGCAATTTTCTGCAGTTACGAAATCAAAATCGTAGACAGCATATCGGCACTCATCAGCAGGTAGGCTGGCAGTGAAGTCCTCATAACTTTGAGCTGGTTCACCAAGCTTCTCCACAATAACCTGCTTTTGCTTTTCTTCGATCTTGAAAACTATAAAGCGGTAAGTTCTTTTTGCCTTCAATTCTAGAAACTTTAGCTTGCAGTCATCATGCACAGCCATCCCCGATGCTGCATTTGCCTACACATTTGATGAAGTATAAACAAATATAGACACCGATTCAAACTAAACCTTGTGATGAAATACCAAATCTGAGCACACACCAACACGTGCTTGATAAATATATTGCAATGCTTACCAGAGGAAATGAAAAATTTACAAAATGTTCTACATAAATTCTGTTTCCCCTTCCTTTCTAACTTGTCTACCATGCATTCAATTGCCACTCTCAAGTGCTTTTTGTTCTCATATTAACATCGATTAACTTGTTTACCCCTAATTTACCAATTACTCACAACCCAACATTTAGCACAGGTATGGCTTTGCATTCATCTTAGATTGTGGCTTCTCATACGACAAAAGACATTAGGATACAGTCCGGGTAAACCAAATCAGAATTTGACGTATACCTTTTATTGAAACCTACAAAGTCACAAACCTGACTACGGGAGCAAACATTCCAACACTTGGTCAGATTAAAAAGGCAATTGTACAACTTTCCAGAGAATGAAAATTTAACAAAATATTCTGCATGATAATTTTTATAAATTCTATTTCCCCTTCCTTTCTAACACTCTTCTACCATGCGTTCAATCGCCACTCCCAAGTCCCCTGGTGTTTTTCGGTATCATACCAACATCAATTAATTTGTTTACCCTTAATTTACCAACTACTCGCTATTTATGAAATTTGGTAGGTCCAACACATATTGCATAAATCCACATGGGAGATGAAAAAAAATGGTGAACATTTCTCCTGTGCAAATAAAGTGAACAAATTTAAGCTTCTCTTGTTTGAGGTCTGTCAAACAAACAAGGGAAACGAAATGGTGGTCTCTTCCAACTCCCTAATTTGTATTCAACCAAACACAAACTAATCTTATGTAGCAAAGTCAAACAATCTTCAATAAATAATAATATAAATTAAATTGTAATGCAAAAATAGACACATTTCTAAAAAAAATCCACTCGTCAACCAATCAAGGATCAACACAAATTACAATCACATACGTCAAATCAACATTGAGAAGAACCCTATGATCAGACCACGTCGAATCAGATCAGTGAATCCCGCAATTCCAAACAGAATCAACCAATCACACACGAATTCACAAAAATCAAAATCCATAACCACATCGATGGCAGATCCAACACAAAATAAACATAGACATACAGATATAAAAAACCATAGAGAGAGAGTACTCACCATTTTTAGAGAAAGAGAGGGATAGGATGAGAGCGATCGAGAGAATCTAGCGCTTCGACGATTAAGTTTTTGTGTCTATGAAAAAAAAAAAAAAATCGAATTGAGAGAGAGAGAGAACAAATGAGGGTTTGAATTGGAGTCGTTTCGGGGTTTGGTGTGGTGGCCCTATCTCTCGTCTGTCTTTTACAGTCGCACGCGTTGATGGATGGGAGTAGGGTGAACGCATGAAGATAAAGTTTGGCGGCCCAATGACGCGGCGACGCGTCAACTATGTGGTGAATACATGGGAAATTTGCAATTTTTTATTTAATATTTTATTATTATTTTTCTTTTAAGATTTGATTTTCAAATTTTAAATTAATGATGAACTTTACCAAACTTTAACTTATTTAGAAGAATGATGCGACTTTAAAAATAATTAAAAAATTAAGAATTAACTTTTGAGTCGAATTCTCAAAATAGACCTTTAATAACTATAAATTTTTTCATTAATTTATATGTTTTGTGAAATTATCTCTGATTTGTAATTTCAAAAATGTTTCCGGCCCCCTCAAAAACAGACCCTCTCGATCCCCTCTGAGCTGGACAGGCACGTGATGGGTCACGTGACATATAGGGGCTACCATCTCCTCTTTCAGAATTCAAAAACGGAAAATATAGCTCTATGACAATGAGAGACGAGAGACAGACGACTCCTGAACTCGACGGACAGCTTCTCAACTCCCAACTTCGACGGCCGACTCCCTTAGTTCCTCCCTTTCACTCCGACGTCCTTGACTTCGACGCCTGGCTCTCGACTCTCTCTCTCCCTCTCTTTCCATCTCATTCGAAGGACGGACTCCTCCTCTTCACGCCGACGACAGGTCCTTCTGACGCCCTACTCTGTCCTCCCGAGTCCCGACTCCCTCTATTTCCATCCCATTGACGACGAGGTAATCTGGTGTATATATATATATATATGTTGATTTTGCCCTAACTTTGCCATAATTATGTAAAATCTAAAATTAGGGCAACATGCTGATTTCTTCTCTTCCAATTTTACAAATTTGGTGTATTTTGCTGAAATTAGGGCAAAATGAGGGCAAAATTCCTCAACCTGAAAGACAGATTTTAGGGCAAAATTGACTATATAAGTTAGGCAACTTGTTGAAAGAGAAGAAATCAGATTTTACTGAAATTGAAACAAATTTGTTGAATTTTCTCAAATTGAAATTGAAATTTCAGATTTTTGCTGAAATTGAAATTGAAATTGGAACAATATTTCTCACATTTGTTTCAATTTCAGATTTTTGCTGAAAGAGAAAAAATCATAGGCATAGGGCAAAATTCAATTATGTAAAATCTGAGATGCAATTTTTGGAGTAGTTATGTAAAATCTGAGATAAATCAGGATAAAATCTGATAGGCAATTATGTAAAATCTGATAGGCATAGCCACGAGATGCAATTTCACATAATGTGAGATGCAATTTTACATAATGTGAGATGCAATTCAATTTTTCATAATCTGAGATGCAATTTTACATGTATAATCTGATAGGCATATCCATGATAAAATCTGATTTCTCAATAGTTTGGCTATACATGATAAATCACAATTATGTAGCTCAATTTTAAATCTCAATTATGTATCATTGAGATACATAACTGCTGAGACGCAAAGCCATAGGCATAGCCATATGAAGATTGGAAACTCAATTATGTAGAATCTGATTTCTCAATAGTTTGGCTATACATGATAAACTGATTAGACTGATTAGTGCATATTCTGATAAACTAATTAAACTGATTAAACTCAATAGCATAGCCATAGGAAGATTGAAACTGATTAGACTGATTAGTGCATATTCACTGAACTTATACATAACTGATTAGTGCATATTCACTGAACTTATTGTCAACTTGAATGTAGAATAATTATGAGACTAAACATGGAATTGAGTATGGGAGTTGAGCATGGCCTTTTGACATAGGAAGGAAGATTGAAAAAGTGGTGAATGTCCCTCTTAAATGCAGTCTTTACTCACTATACATCATGAGCTGAAATTATCTTTATTCACTAGTTTAATGAGGATAACTTGTTATTGTAGATGTCAAGTTCAATTGTCAACGGCAGTAGCTCAGATCGGTTAACGTACTTGAACAAAAATTGTCCTACATGTAATAAAAATGCCACGATTCGAATTTCTAAGACCGATCGAAACAAAAACAAGCTATTATACTCTTGTAATTGTTGTGGTACTTTCGTTGGATGGTGTGTGCCTATGAATTCACAATGTGGAGATCAAGAAATTCCAAGACAAGTAGAAAGAAAACTGCTAAGATCTATGACGGAACAACTTGGAGCTATGATCGAACAACAAAGATCTATGACGGAACAATTTACCTTCGTTAGTGCAAAGATGCAAAAAATAGAATTTCTGATGTTTATGTTGCTTGTAATTGGTGTGTTATTACTTATGAAGATGTAATGCTAGTTAGAAGTAGAAATAGAAGTAGATTGAACTATGTTTTGTTGTGGAATGAAATATGTATTAGTAAGAAACAGTTGAATTATTGAATTTTTGAGTGGAATGGAAATGAATTATTGAATTGTTATTGTTGAATTGTTGAATGAAGATGTGTTATTGTTGAATTGTTGTGGAATGAAGATGTGTTATTGTGGAATTGTTGTGGAATGAAGATGTGAACCATGAACCAACATGAACTGAACCATGAATTGTTGATGAGTTATTGTTGAAAATGAACCAACATGAACTGTGTTATTGTTGAATTGTTGAATTGTTATTGTTGAATTATTGAGCATGAACCATGAACTGAACCATGAACCAGTTTGACACAGTTTGTGCATGAACCATGACAGATTTTTTTACAGACATATTTTTTTTTATAGATTTGAGCATGAACCATCACAGTTTGAGGCATGAACCATGACAGATTTTTTTACAGGCAGGTTTTTTTTACAGATTTGAGCATGAACCATCACAGTTTGTGTATGAACCATGACAGATTTTTTTAGAGACAGGTTTTTTAACATATTTTTTTTACAGATTTGAGCATGAACCACGGCAGTTTGAACCATGAACTGAAAAAAATAGATTTTGGCTGAAATATTGTCAAAATAGAAAACTAAAAAATAGATTTTCAGATTTTTAAAGACAGTTTGGCAGTTTGAACCATGAACTGAAAAAATCAGATTTTGGCTCAAATACTGTCAAAATAGCAAACTAAAAAACAAATTTTTTTTACAGATTTCTTAAACCATGAACTGTCAACAGAGATTTTGCATGAACTTTCAAAAAATCATGCTCAAACATTGTCAAAATAGCAAAATGAAACAAATTTTTTTACAGATTTTTTTAAACCATCAATTGTGAACTCAAAATGCTAAAAGCTAGATTGTCAAAATAAACCATGAACTCAAAGACCAATCTTGCATAACCAATAAAGTGGGACTTAATAATAACCAATCTTGCAAATTCATACACAACATGTGTTACACATCTAACGTGGGACTTAACATAATAAGTTTCAATCTCAAAAACAAAATGTCAATGTTCAATAAACTAGTCAAACATTTCTACAATGCCCATCATTCATTCCCAGTGTGCATGCATTAGAACCCGATGGGGTTAGAGATCTAGACCCAAACATTTGAGTTGGAGCACTCATCAAACTTCTCGGTGTGCCGCTTACAAAGTCCAATGGGATAAGAGATGTGCCTCCAATAGCATTTACAACTTGTCATAATTGAAGTAAAAAAGTACATGTTACAAAATATTCGTAAATGAAAACAAAGAATTGATGTAAAGTCGTCTTATGAACACATACCGGTGCATACACACTATTTTGCATGCCAACCATATAAGGATAATATGATGTATAAGCTTGAGCTTGAGCTTGAACTTGAGCTTGAGCTTGAACTTGAGCTTGAGCTTGAGCTTCAAATTGAAGCACCTTAGCAGCCTATATTGGTTCAAGAGTTTGTAAAAATGTACTTCAAAAGAGTTTGTTAAAAAAATAAAAAACAAGATTTCTTCAATTCAATATACAAGTTCAATTCAATATACAATTTACCTTTGCTTTTGTTTATTTTTTTGCCGTTGCCTTGAACCGATTCACTATTTGATCTACTTTGGCAACCTTTCGTTTCGTAACTGGATGGCCTCTTCACCGAACAACCAAAGGACTAACCACTTTTCTCCTACTAGCACCCGATGTACAACCGGTGGCAAATTGGACTTTTTCTAGAAGATGGTATCCTATTAGTAGAAGGTGGTAAATTACTCTCATCACCTGATTCATCGTTCATGACTCTATCCTTCATTTCATCACCCAAGGTCTATAATTTTAATTTTCCCTTCCGAATTACCAGCAAGTTGTACAATGGCGATCAATTTCTTGTTCATCCTCTCATAGCAACTTGTATTGAAATCATCCCCAAAGCCAGTGTACGTGGTTTTGATGCATGTGTACTCTCGAACCAAATCTTTCCTCCAACGTGGCAAAATGTACTTACTTGGCACCTCATTTATGCACCTTCTCACAAGCACCGCGAGTGAGTGAGCACACATGATGCCTCTAAACTGAAACAACCGACACATACATTGAACTTCACATTCAATTGAATTAAAATACACAACAAAGTCCGCATGCTTCATCTTGTCACAAACTACCATCACTTCTTGGACATTATATGTACAAATTGCTCCCTCCTCTTTGACAATCAAGGCCTGACAGTATACTAATCTCTTCAACTCTCCTTGAACTTATTTGAATTTTGCATTGGTGTAGGCTTGCTGAAATCGCTTCTCAAAGCCATATATAGTTAGACAATCAAACAATTTGTGTCAAGACTTGAAGTCTGATTTCTTCTCTTTCTCTACCTTACTTCTCAACGCATTGTCATATTGTTCAACAAATTGTTTTAATGTAGTCTTCGGGTTGACATATCCATCAAGAAATGCATTCATGCTTTCACTTCATTGTGTTGTTAACATGCCAGCCCAAAAAATGTCTTTAGCATATACATGAACCCATCGATGCCGCTCATGATATAGTACCCCCAACTACTCATTATCATAAAGATTGAATTTAGTAAGCATCTCTTCCCATTTTTCCTCAAATTCATCTCTTGTCAAACAATTATAAATTGCATTTTGCATAGCCAACTTTATGGGTTCATACTGAGCATATCCTTTCAACTTCTCTGGTATTTTCTTCATTACATGCCATAAGAACCATCAATGCCGGGCCTGTGGAAAGACAATTTCTATAGCATTTTGTATAGCTTTGCACTGATCAGCTATGATAGCTTTTGGAGGATTATTTGACATGCAACTTAACCACGACTTGAATAGCCAAACAAATGTGTCGGTGTCTTCACTAGATAACAATCCATAACCAAGCAAAATAGACTGTCCATGGTGATTGACTCCTACAAATGGAGCAAATGGCATGTCATATTTGTTCGTCAGATAAGTTGTGTCAAATGAAACAACATCTCCAAATGATTCATACATAGCCCGACTCCTTGCATCAGCCCAAAACAAGTTTCTAATGCGAAACTCCTCATCAACATCAATCACATAAAAGAATTTCTCACTATGTGCTTGCATCCTCATAAAATAACTTTAAAGTGATTCGGCATCACCTTCACCAAGCCTTAATCTTCTAGCTCTATTAATGTAATTCCTTGCATCTCGCTCATTAAGTGTCAATGACTTGTATCCCCCCGCTTCAACAACCATTGAATGATAGTTCCTAGACACCCCAATCCCTGTTTGATCATTGATTTCTAATCTTCTCTTCACAGGAGTACGAATTTTCTTATTCATTGCAAAATGACGAGAGTTGGTGGGAATCAAATCATGATAATGCTCAAGGTTAACTGTGGTTAACATATATGTCCCATTCTTTTGTAGAGTACCTGGTACCCTTGCTTTGCAACCAATTTTTGTGGACAAAGATGGCTTCAAAGGGTTCACTTCTGATTTTTTTTTTCTCTCCCCCGCTCGAGAACATTCAATTGCGAAGTTTTTTAATTCGCCATCATCTCCAAAATGCTGTGCTCTATGAGCTATAGAAAAGCCAACGTGCTTAGCATATGTGGCATAAAATGTGTACACTTCTTCCCTTGAGCTAAAACACATACCATTCTTAGGTTCTTCAACTTGTTGACCCTCATTTACTGAAGGATTGTCACTACCATTTGAATCAACCTCCATTCTATGAGAATCAAAAATGAAATTCAAATAGAATGATTTTAGAATAATTATTTTATAAGGTGATTGGAAACTTTGAAACTGTTATGAAACTAATAATTTTAGCTGATAATAATTTCAGTCTATGAGCTATGAGCTATAAGATTATTTTAGCTGATAATAACTCTATGAGCTATAAGATTATTTTAGTTGATAATAATTTCAGTCTCGCCACAATGAATTTAAACCATGAAACTTATAGTGGCCTTTGTTTCGATCCCCAATGAATTTCAATGAAACTAATAAGAAATACAGACATTTCAACATCTGTATGTTATTGTTGAAATGAACCATCATTATTTATAAGATTATATGGCTAAATTAATCATATAGAAGATTATTCAAAAAGCTAATGGTAAAAGAAGATTTCGTCTACTATAGCTCATTTACTGTTCTTGAGCCATTTGACTAATATGGCTAAATTAACCAAGTGAAAAATATGATTTTCAAGCATTGGGATCAGAAAGTGAAACCAAAAACACCAAAAGAAACTGAACATTCACAGAAGCAAAGTCATACTTATAATGTACAGTCATTTATTTGTCAAAAACTTGCAAAGAAATAATTAGCCAAAAACAAAGCAGTTCTAAACACATTTAATGTTATATTAGAGCCGCAAATACGAGCCAAATGCATTACAAATTGCACATTAACATCACAACTCCTCTTTTCCACTCCTCTGTTTAGTTGAAATGTCTGTATTTCTTAATGAGTATTTCAACTTCTCCTTTTCACATACAGATGATTTCGATCCCCAATGTTATTGTTGAAATAAACCATAATTATTTATAAGATTATATACAGACATTTCACAGAGATTGATCAATGTATGTAGATAGAGAGAGAGAGAGAGGGAAGATGAGGGATTTTCGAGTAACATTACCTGACAAAATGCTATTGGAATGCGATCGAAGATCCGTAGAGCGAGATACAGAGAGTTATGGCCGGAGAGATATGGTCGACGGAGGAGAGCTATGGCGGACGCACGATGGAAGAGGGAAGAGGGAAGAGGAAAGACGGACAGGGGTGGGGAAGAAGGAAATATCAGGGCCGTTCCCACTTTTTTTTTTGGTCTTTGTTTTCATTATATTTTTTTTGTCTTTTAGGTGCGTGTATCACACCTTCTTCATTGTGCAATTCTTCTTCACATGACTTTAGCAAGTGCCACCTCAGAGGGGGTCGTGGGGGTCGATTTTGGAGGGGGTC